ATTCATCTTCAGAATTACCACCTTCAGTTATGTCATTTTCAACACTTTTGGTTATGGGCTCATTTTCAAAATTATCAAATATGTTGTCTTCAATACTTTCACTTACACCTTCATAAACGCTTCTATTTACACTTTCATAAATGCTTCCATTTACACTTTTATAAATGCTTTCACTCACATCTTCATAAATACTTCCAATTACACCTTTATAAACGCTTCCACTTACACATTCGTAAACATCTTCATTTACTCTTTCATAAATGCTTCCACTTGCACCTTCATAGACGCTTCTACTTATACCTTTATAAATATTTTCAAAAAATACAGGCAAGATATCTGTAACATATTCGATAGACGGTAAAGCAAAGCTATTATCATTTTTCAAATGCAGTGCTATTTTATAATTCATATGTTTGTCAAAATTGTTATAAGAACTTTGAGCTTCAAACATCTATATTTATATATGTAACTTTAAGTTCAGCAATAAAACCCAAGCAAAATATCTAAAATAAGGATTCTATCATAAATTAAGATTTTAGATTTCCAAGATACATTAAAGAAGTGTATAGACTTAAATCATATGATATGTTAATAAAAAATCAACGCTACTACATATTTGTTCAAAAGTCCATCTGTACCTGCTTCTTTTTACTGCTTTTGTTTCAACAAATGACCTTTCTATTAAGTTGTCACCAGATGTTTTTAATAGATGTAAAGAAAAAATGCGTAAAACTTAGAAAAGAAATAGTAACATATTAATAATAAAACTATAAAACTAAAATCTCAGCAAGAGTGCTACTATATAAATTTATTTGTACTTTTTCTCATTTTTTGCTCTGTTTCAATAAGCCTAGTCTTATTAGTTGTCAGTTCACAGTTTTCAGCTTTTCCACAGTACTAGGCTGTTATCGAATGTTTCAAAGATATGTAACGAAAAAAAGTATAAACGCTAAAAAAATACATATGATACATTAGTAATAAAATAATAGAAGAAAAAATTTCAAGAACACTATAATATTTAGTTAATAGTCCATTTGTACGCACTTTTTCTTGGTTATTGAACAATGGTTTCTCTTCTTTTTCGCTCGTTATTAGACATTTTGGTGTGTAAAAAAAAATCATGTAATTCTAAAAAAAAAGAAAAGAAAATGTTAAATTAATATTTGCATAACTACTTTTATTATCACTTTACATTTTCCTATGCTCACCTTTCTACTTTACTTGTTTGGTATTTGTTACACAAAAAAAAACAAACGAAAGTAGAAAAAGTTCGATCATTTTGTGATTAAATATCCTATTTATTTGTCAAAAATAAACTCTGTAATTACGATCGATTACCCAGATCTAACAGTAAAATATTGTGTAATATGACTAATAGTATATAGGATAGATATTAATAACTTCTGGTATAACTAATATTTATTCTTCTACAAAAGTACAATTGGGATTTGTCCAGACTTTTTTGTTGTTACCTTACTAGGTTCATACAACTTATTACATGCCAAACAAGTTGCATAATTATTTATGCGTAGACCTAAGCTTATTAACTTTCTGGCTAAATAGAGTAACTTAGAAAAGTTTTTAAACTGATCCTGATCAAGATATGTTAATAGATAATAAATAAATTTAACTAATGATTCTGTTGCTATATCAGATAATTGATATCTTTGTTGATATCTTAGAATTTAGATTAATATCTAACCAAAACTATTATCAAGATTATCAATATGTTCGAATTCTTCTTTATCTCCGTTTTTAATATCAGGAGCAGAATAATCTATTATGGTTTCCTCATCATTACTTTCAAGCTCTATTTCTGCAACTTCTTTATCATTATCAGAGACATTTAAAGTCAGATTGACAGGGCATAGGATCGATTTTCCGATCATGTGATTTTCCGAGACCTATAGTTTTCGAACAAAAAGGCAAATTTATGTTAGAGTTCATGAGCATTTTAGGGTTAGGAAGGGCCGCCTAGTAGTAAAATTGCATGAGGAATTTTTTTTATTAGAACCCTAAAGGCAGTTTACTAATAAAAGTTTTGAAATAAACGTGGTTTTTGTAAAACGAGCGTTTGTTTTGATTTTTTTACATTACACCAGATCCTGGTTTTTAATTGGCCAATTGACCTCGGAAAATCATGTAATCAGAAAATCGATCCTACGCCCTGGTGTTGTTTATTTAAAGTCTCAAGAACTATAGCAATATCAGATTTTTTTTTAATTTTAGCTTTTGCTTTTTTTCTGTTATTTTTAGTTACAAAAAATAATTCTTCTTGCAAAAATGATTCTTCATGAAGACTAAGATCAATTAAAGTAGAAGAAGAAATATTAGTTTGAGATATACTTCTGCCTTTTGTTTGAGGAACTGTAGAAGAAGAGAAATCATCTCCAGGTTCAGCAGAACCTACTAATTCTTCATACATTCCATATTTTGCAATATGGGTATCTCTTGTTCGAGGATTGCAGGATTTTTTTTTACCTTTGCATACTTTATATATGCAAATAACCTTTTTTCAAGTTTTTATTGCAAGTAATTTAATAAATATTTGATGATTTATTTTTAAAGTATTTTAAGAGTTAGATATTAGATATCAGGAGGCAAGACAGACAATAACCCTTTAAATACAAAATTTCATAATATATTTTATTATTTGCTATATCAGTCAACCAATTTGTCACATATTTTATATATACAGTATTTTTTATATATAAACTTTGTTGCGATGATGTTTCTTTATTTATATATTAACTTTAAATTAAATTTTATGAATAAATATATCAAGAAAAGGTGAAAAAAACATGTTTTAGGGTGTAGCAACTTAGTGAAGTGATTAAGTTGTCACACTTCCAAATAACATGTTGGCTAGATAGGAGTTTAAAACCCACTAGCAACGAATTTTAAAAATTCTATCTGTATGATAGCTACTGTCATTCTGTTGATTGGTTGAAATATTTCTGTAATCTTGGTAGCACCAACAAAGATTGGAAGATCATGAAATATTTGTACAATGTATGAATTATACGAATAAGCTTTCAGATTGTAGTAAACCCAAAGAATCAGGAAGGATGATGGATGCTTGCTTGGCAAGACCCGAGTAGAAAAGTAGCATAGATTTTTAACAATACTACTGAAAGATCGTCATTGGAAGAACTGGTAAAACTAAACGGGACCAAAGTGTTTGGCAAGACACTTCACCAACCAGATTGCCAGAGGAGTAACTGAAAGAAAAGAACCCAATCATGAGACTAGAAGCAGGTCATAGCCCTTCTGAACCATCTAGATTGGTAGTTTGAGATTGTCAAGATTAAAACTAGTGATAGTCTGTAAAGTGTGTACTGGGGTCTGGGTGAACTCTACAAGGTAGAAGTAAGTAATGGTAGCGGCCGGTCTCAGTTCACAAGTTGCTATCTTTAGATTTGGTATAAGTTACTGAAGTCTAGATTAGCCGGATTGTAGATATAGAAAGCTCTAGCAAGTTTACTTCAAAGATAAATTAGCCCTAGGTTGGGTGCTTCTTATAGCAGATATTGGTTCCTCATAAGGATATAGTAGTACAAAGGGTTAGGGTGAGCGACAGTAATATTCTTTTAGGTTAGAATAGGCTTTTTTTAAAAAAAAACTCTCTTTTAGAAGTTAGGGTTATAGTGAATGCTAGTAATACCCTTTTAGATTAGAATTGTCTTAGATTAAAAAGATACTTTTTTAAACTAATCGAACCTTTTTGTATGCTATTCAAGTAGCATATATGCATAAATATGTATGTATTTACCAATTTTAACTTGCTGATCTTGAAAAAATTTGCTTGTGAACCATAAATAATTCTGCATCTCGATTTTGCTAGCAATCAAAAATATAATGTTTGAAATATACGTATTTAAGTAGATCACTAAAATTAACAACTCTAAGATACGTGAAAGGTTTTGCACAATAGTCAAAATATTTGATACAATGTAAAAATTAAAGTGAGCATAGCACATAATTCAAATTAATATATCTCTTGTTATTATGTAAAAAAAGATTTTATTTTGAAACTTTTTTTTGCGTATTGGTTTTAATTAATATACAAACTCTAACACTAATAGATAATAGTCAGTTTCTTAGTATATTAATATATAATTTATATATATATATCTTGAAATTTGATTGGCTAATTTAGGATAGGTTATTAATAGCCCCTGGTATTATTTATATTTGTTCTATTATTAATATATGTTTATATTAATAATAGCTAGTTTATTTTATGTTTTTGATAAGGTTTGTTTTATATATAAAATTTCTAATAATTTTTTTTATTATATAAACTGATATCCTTTTAGCTATTGATGGTCTAAACGAACAGGATAGACCAAACCCTACTAGACAGTAGCATGAATTTGAAAATCAGTTTATTACGAAATTCTCTCTCTGTAATTATGCATAGTATTGAATACAATATTAGTAGCAACTAAGTGCTTCAAATAATTCAACAACTGCATTGATATTAACATAAGATATACTTGGAAAAAATAAATCCAGAGAGGTGGGAGCACCACAAAAAAAGAAGAATAATAAATACCCAGGCATCACAGATATATTATTATCAATATAAATATTGGTACTATATATTTCACTCATTATTTTTTAATACTAATAATATGTTTTAATATTATTATTATTTATTTTTTATATTATTTTTACTATTATTTTTATTACTTTTATTTTATTTTTACTTGATTTATTTTAATTTATTTTTATAAGAAAATGCGAAGACAAAGAAGTGGCTTTAACTATTTAGTAAAAACTAAAAACCGCTTCTTATACAAATTTTTACTCAAAGCAATGTTTTAAAAACAAGCAATTGCTAATATCAGACAGGTATTGAAGGTTCAGGATTATCACAGTGATGAATTTTCTGAAACAGATATTGATAAGGCTAATAGAGAGCAGAGAGACAGAAATCGTGATAGTGAAAATAACCACAATGACTAAGTGGTCAAAGTGCTAGATAAATGCTAGCAATCCTGAAAGATAAAACTAAGCCAATATAAATATCGGTATTATGCTTATCTCTAAATAATTTTTTTGATCTAGACCAATTTTATATATTGAGTAATAACATAAGTATTTCAAAAAAAAAGAGACTTCAGGCTTTCAATTTAATTATTGTTGGATTTAGTCTTTAAAAAAACCTGATATTGCCATATATTATATATCAGTTAACAAATAGACCAATTTGACTAATTTTTTAGCTATTATTAAAATTTAATAATAATTAAAAAATTTTAATAATAGTTGGTTAAATTGGTCTATTTATTAACTCTATATATTGCTGATAGCTAAATCTAATAAATGATAAAATCATTTTTTTTGGCAACACCTATATATATTTTTTTTTCTTTAGCAATATTTGTATATATACATATAATTTTTTTTAAAAAAACTTTTTTTTTTTACTTTATCTATAGTTAA